TTCCCCACGGCACTCAGTGGCAGAAGCTGCTCCTTACCCACGTGCCCACCACTCTCCACAGAGAGAGGCAAATCAATGAGACCCAGATTTCTGTCCAAGTGTTCAGCCCCATCATTACTGTGTCCCCGCGAGCAACTGCATACAAATGGGCATATTTCATTAAAAGCCTCCTTCCCTTCCTAATCATCATAAGTACATTAATTATTTAACCAGTCCAAGAGGGTGCTTAAAAAAATCAGTTTACATAAGTAGATAAAGTAAACCCTTTCCCAGGTTCTAAGGCCCAAGGGACTTGGGTCAAAATCAAGTTCTACTTCTTACTAAGCTCAAGTCCTCGTCCCTGCAGGCCCATTGTCATGAAACGTGAAAACCCACCATTTCCTGTGGTGGTTATTTTGGGGCATGGAACTAAGACTACATGCACAATAAAACCAGAATGTAGAAACTATAAAACCCTTAACAGATGGTACATGACCCCTCTCAAAATATCCCTTGTATGGAAGAGGGCTACACGGATGTCAGCACCTCCCAGCCATTTTTTCACATCGAGCGGGGCTATACCTGCCCCTGAGTTAAGATGCCAATTCTGCCAGCCAGCTCACAAATGAAGAGAGGCAGGAGGCTAATGTGAGATGCCTCTGAAAAGAACAGTCTTTACCACTGAAGAGCGGGATTAAATGAAGAAGAATTCTGCCTATAATTGGCGGCTTCTTTTTAATTAAGTGGGCCAATTCAGCATAGGAATGCATTCCTTTATTTCCAATTTGTCGCAATCTCTTAAAGAAAGAAGCTTGGAACCAGCATTCTTGGATGGCTTCTCTGCCAGATGAACCATTCCACCCATTTCTTTCCATTAATTCTCTATTTTCCTATAGTGGGGGGAAAACGCACTTACTGTTTATATCATTCCCTGGAAACTTAAAAGTGATTTGGCTTGGCTTCCAGTTCCAACATGTTCAAAACCTCTACCTTTGCTCAATTATAGAAATAAAAGCTAAATGGGAATCTAAAACTAGAAATAATATTTTGCCCTCCAACTGGCACTGAACAGCCCAAAGAATCTCCCACTCCCAGAAGTGCAAGGTCATAGAATAACAGAAGCGGGCTCAAGGCCCCGGAGCCGGTTAGACCAATGGGAACTTGGGCTCGGAGTATTTATTTTTGAAGGATAACCTAAACACACAATATTTATCATCTGTTCTGGCTGGAATGGGGAAGCAGCCAGCTCCTTCAGATAGGCCATGAGTCATGGGTTGTAAAAGGAGGAATTTCTATTGTTATATACTTTTATAAATGTTTAGGAAGTAATAAAACAGCTGCTGCTGTCAGTACCTCATAGTGAAAATATGCACAGAAGCATGTATTCCTGCTGCTGCTGGAGCTGGCATCAAGCTAGAAGGCATTCTCCGGGCTGCAAGGCCAGGCACCAGTCGCCTGGCCACCAGGCGGGAAATGCAGAGACCCCAGCACTAGGTGACGCCCTGACTGGGGCCCGGAGAGTGACCCTGAGGTAGAGAATCCAGCAACAAACACCCTGGTTGCCGATCCCCAGAAAAGTGGTACCTATTAATGCTGTTTTAAGAGAGTAACTTGTTACTCAGCACCAGGCATCAGCTACCCACAGACCGATGCCTGTGTTGATGAGTGTCCCAATGCCCGCTGCTGCCCTGCATCCTGCCTTCTGATCTTCAGCACTGTCACACTTGTCAGCACAAAGTCAAAGCCTACTTTCCTGCTCCCAGAGGGCAGGCACGGACTGGGCTACCTCTGTCACTCACCATTCAAATACTTAGCATCCCACATAGTACCCAAGCGTGTGGAAAGGGATTAATAAATGTTTGAACTAATGAACTATTGCCATTAAGCTGAGGACCAAAGAGGAAAGAAATCTGCCTCTTTTTTTTTTGGTTTGTCATTTTTTTAATTAATTTTATTAGGTAATAAATAGCAACGAGAGTTTCAAAACAGGTTAGTAGGACAGTTACAATAATTAATACATTGCATATTGTTGTCTTCATAGAAGTTATTCATTGTACAAGATGCAGACATGATAGCCTGTCCAAACACGATTAGTACAAATCTCTTTTCTCATTGAATTAAGAGAAAGTAGTTGTACATCTATCCTATTTTGTACATACAGATACAAAATGGTTCTTCCTTTGTGTTCCCTTTTTTTGTTTAGTTTTGTCAGAGATGGGTATTCCATTGCCATTTAAATATTGTAGGTACATGAAATTTGCCTCTTAGTAAGTCTTTAAAAAGCAAAAAGAAAAGCACAGGCGTCCTGGGAGGACCCAGCTTTGGACCTGAGCCTCCTGCAGGATGACAGATGTGTGGCTATGCAAGGGAAGCGAGGAGGGTGAGGCCTGCTTCCCGCTGAGCATCTGACCTGGGCAGCATGAATGTCCTCCCTGCTCAAAGGCCCACTGCCACAGTGCTGGGGTCCTCAGAGGCAGATCCAGGTCCAGGAAGTGAAGGACACCTCAGGGAGCCTGGCCCATGCTCCAATGGAAAGACACTGACCTCTCTGCCTCTGTGCGCATGTCCTTCTGCTCAGGAAGTTTCTTGCTCAAGGCCCACCTCCCTCGCTCATGGGGCAAGCTCTTACTCACCCTTGAAAACCCTGCTAGGCACTGGCTGCTACAGCTCAGGGGCCTCCTCTCCGGCTAACCATGGCCCCGCCAGTCTCCCCAAAAAACTGGGGCTCCATCTCCCTGGAGCAAAGAGGGCTGCACACAGAGCAGCACATCCAGACAGACTGGTTCTCACTCTGCCCAGGGAGTCACCCAGGCCTGTGGCTTTCACTCTCTCAAAGCCCAGAAGTGAACTTGGACCACAGGGGTGGGGGTGGGGGGAGAGCAGCTGTGAAAACACCCAGCGGGTGGCAAGGGGAGGGCTTCCTCACTGGCCTATCCTATTACGAAATCATGTCTACACAGAGCACCCATGGCTTAGGGCAGCTGTTCTGGGCCCAGAGAGCACACCCCGCTCTAGGAGGAACAGGCTGTAGCATGGGGCTGTGCAGTTTCCAGGGCTCCTGAGGCAGGGAGACACAGATAGCTAAGGAAACCACAGACAGCAGCTGCCCAACACCAGGGCGCTAGGTGAGCTACTGTGTGCTCAGGCAGGGACAGTCCAGCTTTCCCCTGACCAGTCCCACTCAGAGAAGACGGATCTGCTCTGAGGCCTCCACAGAAGGACGCAGTGGCCAACACAAATACGGACTTTTAAGTATTCACTGGCTCCAATAATAACAGTAGTTAGTTTATTGTAGCTGTTAGAAAATACATTGAAAGAGCAATACATCTAAACAAAAGAAGAAGCAAGACTATATTCACTAACTGCTCACACACGCACACATACACACACTTATACTTACCTGCATAGAAAAGAAGTCTGGAAGAAAATACACCAAAACATAAATCATAGTTATCTGGATGGGAGATTACAGGTGTTTTTGACAACAGTGTTCCTTTATAGTTTTTCAATGTATTTTCTAACATCTTCACAACAAACTAACTACTACTATAACCGGAGCCAGAAAGGCACGCTCTATCAGAGAAAAGAGTCAGGGGTGTATGCGTGTTCTCCTGCTGCTGTAGCAAACTACCACACATCATGGGCACATGACACGACGTAGTCTGTTATCATTCCGGAAGCCAGAAGTCTGCAATCCTCATGTTGGTACACTTGGCACCTCCTGGAGGGCTGGGGGGAGACTCTACTCCACGCTTGCTCTTAGCTCCTCCCAGTTACCGGGAATCCCTGGCATGCCTTGGCTCGTGGCCGCATCAGGCAACGCTCCCTGTGTCTTACGATAGGACAGTGCTCCAGTAGATCTGCAAACTTGAGGGTGTCTGCCCAGATCCACTATCCAAATAAGGCCACAGTCATAGAAATGAACTAGGTCTTCAGCTTGTCTTTTGTGGGAAGGACAGACATAATTCAACTCATACCAAATCATGGTAGGTCCAGAGGAAAAGAAGACAAATATCTGTGCTTAAATGTCTGACAAGATCTCCCAGTCTGAAAGGATTAGACCTGGACTGCATGGCTCTATAAGGAAGAAATGAGACTAGTGTGAATATCCCCAACAGTCAGGCTGGCTCCCAAAATAGGAGCAACTATGCTGGCCTGGCCTGTACTGGCCATGGTGGGTGGGAAATTCTGTCTCAGAGGATGCTGGTTAGACTAGAGGCCCACTTATGTCTGATATGGCATTACTGTAGTGAGCCCCCAGACTAAATAATATTAAGGGCCTGGCTGTCTTCCCTGATCACCAACGGCTTCTGTGTTGCCCTGAGCTGGACAGCCTACCTCCTACCTATCAGTATTACGCTAGCTTCATGGCATCCAGCCCGGGAAACCCCAGATCTTAAAGACAAAGCAGCAGTGTCCAGCTTATTTCTTCTTTATGGTCTCAAGGAAAGATGAAGAAAGACATTCATGACTGACAAGGAAAAAAGGTATCAACCCAGTCAGGAAACACGGAATTCTGAGAGATAGACAAGAAGACAAGCCCCACACCGCTTTTCTTAAGGGTGACCCCAATCCCTGACAGCACCAGGAACCATCCCACACCCCCAGGTCAAAGCTGCCGGAGACCACAGCCCACAAATAAGGTTCAGGACTGCAAAGGAAACAATCTACAATTTGTTTAAAGGGAAAGAGGGTTGCCTGCAGAATAATATTTACATGAGAAATAGCAGCGACAGTGCAAGTCAAGCCTGTTTATTTATTTTTTTTTAAATAGAAGCAAAATCTTGTTAGTTATGGGAAGGAAACACTGCTCTCCAAAGTGCCTTTTCTTTTCACCCCAAACATTAAAAAAAAAAAAAAAGGAAGGAAGGAAGGAAGGAAGGAGAAGAGAAGAGAAGAGAAGAGAAGAGAAGAGAAGAGAAGAGAAGAGAAGAGAAGAGAAGAGAAGAGAAGGGAAGGGAAGGGAAAGAAAAGAAAAGAAAAGAAAAGAAAAGAAAAGAAAAGAAAGGTTCATGGCTCACCTCTCCACAGGGTCCCTGAGCATGACGATCAGCTTGGCGTCTGGCTGAAAGGCGTGGATGAAGTCCTGGGTCAGGAATGGTGGCTCTCCATCTGTGCTGTTGTCGTAGAAGAAAGTCCACGCGTTGTTGTCCCACATGGTGGAAGCGCTGGCCTCCCCTGCAAATAGAAGTGCCCGCAGATGAGCAGCTGCTGGGCTACAGGGTGCAGGTTCCCACTGCACGCTAGAGGCCAAGCCCAGCTTCCGTTTTTCCTCTTCAGTCCCCACAACAAGCAAGCCCACCAGCCACCCTCGGCAGACAGGACTCCAGACAGGAGGCCTGGTGCCCACCCCTGCTGTGGTGACCCCTACTCCTACTCCAAGCCTCTATCTGGAAACCTAGGAATCCATGAAACACTGAATTCCCCCTCCCTAGCCCTTTTCTTCAGGTGAATGAAAACACAACCCCTTTGAGCCCCTTAATTTCACAACATGTAATTCTTCTGTTGGCTCATAGCTCTGTGGCATTGTAAGGGCCCACTGAGAATATTCTAGACAGTTTCCTTTGCGAAGGATCAGCAAGAAAAGAATAGTTTGGGGGAACTAGCCCTCACTAGGAAACGGGATGCAATTTTGATTTATCTTTTCGGGAACACTAACAGTCAAGAAGTGCCTTCTAGGTCTAGCAAGAATGATGCTTTGCCAAAAGTACAGGGGCCTCAGCCTCAAGGTCTGTCTGTCCACTGTTGTCCACTGTCCCCACTCAGTGCCAGCTGTGTGAACAGATCCCAGTCCCTGTTTTGGAGGCCAAGTTCATGTGGCCGGAGGGTAAGACAATATATCAAGCCTACCTTGGAGGACAGGGCTGAGGCTGAGACACAGCCATTTCAACTGCAATGACTCTTTAAAACTGAACCAAACTCCATGATTTTTTTAGGGCTGCCTTCAGAGATTTAGGAAGAAAAGCAAATCAGTCAATCAGTGCTACAATTTCTGGATACCATGCATAGGATGACACAATAACCTGCAAGGCACTTATTCTGGGAAAATCTGAACTAAAAGATTAAGTCTCTTTGGTCACTGATAAGCCTATTAGGATCATGCAAGAAGTTAGCAGGCCCAGTTTCTTCTGCTGGACATGTAATCATGTTAGGTGAACACTGCTGTTCTATTCTAACCTTTCTTCCTTTCTTATTTTTTTAAAGAGGTAATACCCTAGGATACAGAAAAGACAAGTCAATCAGAAGTCCTTTGAAAACTCTCCTCACAATGAATAATGAATATAAAAGACATGCGAAGTATCTAAAACTAAATTAGCATAAATTCTGTCAGATCTCAAAAAGAAACTGGTTTTACCTACAGAGCCATGTGTCCATTTACTGAGGGCTGTCTGTCCATCCATTCACCTCCATCGCTCATCTGTCCAGAAAGCATGTGAGTGATGTCTAATCTGTGCCCTGCGTTGTGCTTGGCACTGGGGACAGAAAAGGGGAACTAGACAGACATGGACCCTCCCCTGTTGGATTTCACAATCTAAGGTGAAGACAGACAATTCAAGAACTATCAGCTACCATGTGCAGTTGCCAAGAAGGGACAGGGCATGCTGCCATGTGCGAAGATGCAGGGCCTTTTTAGCATGCCCAGAGTCCAAGCCCCTTGGTGCCTGGCCTCTTGAGTCCTGAGGCTCCCCCATGTCTTTCACTGCTAGACTGACGATAGAAGGCCCACTGTGATCCACGGGCACCAGGCTGAGAACTTCCTGCTTCTGCCAAGGATACCGAAAGGAAGAACAAAACAAAACTAAATCCTATTCCAGGGCTGACAGAAGACTCGAACTGATCTGCTCTAACTCTTCCCTCTTACAGACATGTGGATCAAGTTCAGGACCAAAGCCTGGCTTATTACATGGCACCGGGCTATGACACCGAAAAGGCCGGATGCCAGTGCGTCATCTGCCATTCCGCCCTGCCTATCATGCCACAAAACTACCATTAAGCACATCAAATCCTGCTTGAAGTAAATATCACTGTGGCATTTTTATTTCTTGGTTTTTTGTTTTGTTTTGTTTTTTATAATTGAGCAGTAACTAAAATCAGAAAACCAACAGAAGCTTTCCTTTCCCATTCACTAAGTCTCTGTTTCCTGGTCCTAAAATGAACATCTTTAGCTCTTTCATAGAACCTGAGATAGTCCCAGAAGCATGTGATACAGGAGTCACAGGGAAATATTAATTAAACTTATTATCTGGGTGTGTTTAGACCCCCAAATTTGCAAGAAACAAAAACTAACATCCAGCTTATACAGACGGTATAGAGCACAACCTCACTGGCTCCAAATGACTTCTGAGCTTAAAACAAAAAAGGAATCAGTGCAAGCCGAGGCACATATGCCTCTCCCTAGCCATGAGAGTCTCAAAAACATCCTTGTTCAAGTGGTTGATCACAAGTCACCCTACTCACTAAGAGATTCATTTAATTTAGAGGCTCAAAATATAATAGATCTAGGAAAATAAAAATACATCACTGCCTCAGTAACCAATTTAAGCAAAATGAATGATTAAATTCCTTGTTCAGAGAGTACTGGTAGATGAATTCCTCATCCCAAGCGGAATGCACAAGAAAGAGTTGTATTGGATGAACAAGCACAGCTAATACTGCTGAGTTGTGGAGTGGAAATGTGCTAAGAAAGCAGATTTCAGGTGCTTTGACCTTCCAAGGACGACGGGTGAAAGGGAACTATGTGCAAAGGCAAGTATGCTAACCTCCTTGGCTATAGGAACGATTTCACCATGTACATGAAAACTTCATGCGTACACCTAAACATATACAATAAAAGTGAATGTAAAAAGAATGCATCTATACAATAAAACATTTCTGTGAACTTTTAAAACAAGTGATTAAGGGCTGACCAAATAGCTCAGCAGATTAAAGCACCTGCAAGCAGGCACAGGGGCCAGGGGTTCGATCCCCAGGCCAGCCATGCCAGCCCCCTGGCCCCAGGCACACGCTGAGACTATCATTGAGACAGGGCGTGGTGGAGTACACCTGTAATCCCATTACTTGGGAGGCTGTAAACAGGAGAATCACTACGAGTTCAATCTAGTAGTGAGACCTGAATACCCTGTAGACCTTTCCCTAAAATACAGGGGGAAAAAAAAAAAGCAAGTGATTAATCAAGCAACCTCATTTTAATGCCCAAAGCCACTAGGCTGGGAAGGATGAGGCCCTTTGAACAGCGATGAGCCCTGGACACCATGTGGGCTATGTACACTTCAGGGGTAGACATGGTCACGGCAGCTGGAGTTCCAGAAGCCCGAGTATGAAATCAACAACTAATCCATTGTACTGATGACCTTCCATCCAAGCTTAGATCAGCAGATTATGAAAGGAAGTCAAGGCTACCTAGTTTAAATAAAAATAAAGCTATGGCAATTCATTTAAAAAGCCGCCTCAGCTGTCCTTGAGTCTGCATGTCATTAGAAAGCTGACTAGACATTTCTGTGTCTTAGAAATGGTACGAGGGATGCGAACATTTCACACAGGAGTGACAGTAACAGCGTGATGATGGCCAGGTAGGGAGGCGGAGCCTCTGCGACCACCTGCAGTCATCTGAGAATGCTTCTGAGGTGAGGCAGAGCAGGACACAACCCAGAAGGTCAGCTGGTCTCTCCCTCCAAGCCCTAGAAGGGTCACAGGAACCGTACCAATAATGATTTGATTCATCTTGCCCTGCTCCTTCACAGCGCTGGCCTGCAGTCCTTGATGGATTTGGAGAGCAGCCAAGTCAAAGAGGTCCAGGTAATCTTCCACGGGATAGCGGTCTCGAAGTCCATCTCTCAGGCGGACAATTCCTACAGAAAGTAAGAAGCAGGAATTTGAGGATGAAGATGCCACTGATAGGGTGGCAGCTTCCTGGAGTGACCAGAGAGGGAGGGAAAGTCCTAAGAAGCCCAGTGACAGCAGCACAAGGCCCAAGCCAGGTAAGCTTCAAGAGGGAGCACATGGCATGGGGTGAGGCCTCTGCTCACCAGGTATCTTTCAAAGTGTGTACACTTCAAGGTTAGAGGGCATCAGCACTTCAGGGCAATGGCTGCTCAAAAGACGGCACACCTATTCAAGAGCTACAAATGCCAGAGTTTGGGCCTGGTTACCATGTTTATCAGTAAAGTGGCTGGACATTGGGGGTATACAGGATCCACATAATATTATCAAACAAGAAAAGATAAGAGGGCCTCCAGTCAAGAGGAACAGTAGTCAGTCAAATTCCTAGTACCTTTCTCCACCAGAGCCCAACCAGCAGGCTTTCTAGCACTTGACCTCATCGGTCAAACAGCCTACCATTTATTTGTCAGAAAAGTAAGGGGAAATGAGTGGACAGACTCTGGCATTGGCTACAGACAGCCTGAATTTGCCCCTTGCCTTAAAAATAAATAAGTTTCACTTGTAAACATTTTCAAAACACATGGCCAGGTAGTGTTAATAACTACCAAAGTTATTATAAAGTAGAAAGACAATGTATATGGACAGAGCAACAGTAGGTTCAAGGTGACATTGCATACCAGGTCCCAAGGCACATCCTGCTTTTCCCCTCTCCTCCCAGTGGGAAACTGCTTTTCATAGGGAGCACCCAACAGTAGGAGGAGAGTACATCCAGACATGTACGCCCAATGTATATGGACATGTGACATTGGCTATCATGGTGGCCACTGTTAAACAAATGAAGAAATAAACTCTACTCTTGTTCACTCTAGGGTGAACATCAAAAGCATAACATCAACAGGGAGGGAAAGGACTCTGCACTCCCTCAGACTTTGCCAGGGAGCACATACAGAACTGATGTAAAGAAAACTTTCAAGATTCTCTTCTGGGCATCCTTTATGCAGAAAACGCCCTCGTGGCCCGCCCAGACATTGGCAGACAACAGACCATATATCACCCTTGCTCCAGTGACCGAATGTCTCCTGGCAGAAGGGAAAGGTCAAGGAGAGGAAACAGTGACCAGAAGGCTACAGGGTGCTTAGGGCTGAGCTGGAGCAGAAGCCACACAGAGAAGGATGGGTGGTGGTGGCCAGGGTCAGCTGCATGGCAAAGGGTGTACAAAGCAGGATCCCCCATGCTGTATCTTTTGGGTTTCAGACCAAAAGATGCAAATAAGCCAGGCACTGAAACTAAGGCACAAAGCACCAGGTATGGGGGTTCCTGGGAAATCACTCAGAACTAGGCACCAGCCACCCCAGCCCAGTGGGCCGCTTCCCACTGATCAATACTCCTGTATGTACTGCTCCTCTGACCGAGTCACATGCCAAGGCTCTTTGGGACAAGAGCCACCTGTTCTGCATACAGCTGGCACTCAATCAATGTCTCCTGGGTGGCTTTCAGCCCTTGGAGAGTCTTTGCCTGTAAACTGCTCCTATGCTTTGGAGATGGTGTGTGTGTGTGTGTGCTCCAAAGTTTCATTTGCTATATACAGTTGGTCACCAGTGTGGTGATGTTTTCAAGAGATGGAACTTGTAAGCACAGGGGCTTAGTAGAAGGTCATCAGGTCAGGGGTACACCACTGGCAAGATTCATGCTAGTCTTCTGGGGTGAACGAGTTCCTGCCAGAGTGAGCTATTACAAAGTGAAGCAACCCAGCACTTAGCTTCTTCTTCTTCTGCATTTGGCCCTTTTCCTTTCTCTGCAGTGCTGACACAGAGCCAGGGGATTCTCTCCAGGTCTGCAGCATGACAGTCTGTGCCCTTCAGCCCCTAGCATTGTGGACCAAATCTCTTTCCTTTTAAATTACTCAGTCTCTAGCGTTTTGGTATAGCAACACAAAGCGGACTGAAACAGCTGCCTAGCCGCAGGTGAAGTATCAGATCTCTGTGTCTCAGTTTATCTTCTCATCTCCCCTGTGCTGCTTCCTCAGGGAGCCTCATCCTGGCCCCAGCCCCAGCTCTAAAGTGTGCTGAAGGAATTGTAAAAGGGAACAGATGAGAGCAGACAAGGAACTCACCAAACCGCTTACGGGTCCACCAGTGCGGCTCTTTGATGGCAGAGAACTTCACTTCTGGGTGCAGCCGGAGGCGGTCGTAGAGGTCGGTGGTGCCACACTTGGGCTGCCCAATGATGTAGAAGTGTGGCAGGCAGCGCAGGCGGAAGTGCTTCCCGTGCGCATGAGAGAGGTGGCCCCAGAAGGCTTTGCGCAGGGCGTGGAAGGTAGAACGGAAGCGCTTGGAGTAGAGCACGTAGGAGTTGGTGAGGTAGGGGTCGGTGGTGTTTCTCCCAGAAAACTCCTCGTACCAACAGGGGCTCTTACTGTTGGGAAGGAATTTATTGGGGATGACAGAAAACATCTGAAATAAAGACAAAGGATGGAAACATGCCAAATGAAAAGAACAATTAGTGAACACTCATTCTAATCACATTGTAATTGTGCCCTAAACTGGATTACAATGTTCAAAGTTGAACTGTATTTCCAATCACTCAAAGACAAAATAAGGCTAATGTTGGTAGATAGCCAATGGCTGTGTATGTTTTCTTTATCCCAAAATAAAGTTCTTTATTTTTTTTTAAATAATGAAGATAAAAGGTTTAAGCAGCATTCATTCTACCATGATTTATATTTCCTATTCACAACACACACACACACACACACACAGACACACACACATACACACACACCAATCTAATTAAACAGGTGGAATTTTTTACTAGTTGTACAATTAAATTACTTTTAGAAACAAAAATATAGATTGTGACAAAATAGAAGAAGAAAAGCAGATTGCACTCAACTTTAAATCTCTAAATAATGATGGCCTGCCTGAAAAGTCAACTTTAACCACCATGACTCCATTCTAACCAAGATGTCCTAGAATGCAATTATGAAGGTGGTTCTTAAATATTTCTAGCCCAGCTAGAAATATGTGGGGCTCCCTAGTCTAAACAGTGTGCTCTGATCCACAAGGCTGTCAGAGTACCCTTCCTACAGCTGAGAAACTTTTCAATCATTCTTTTTTTTATGTTCCCAAAGACAGTGATAGGAAAGGACTTAGCTATTTTTAAGTCAATCAACTGAGAGCAACACCATGCTACTTACGTGCAACTCCTGCCTCTTAAGGTCTTGTAAGTCTGGGAGCTGTCTGGTGGTGAACTCAATCCTGGCTCGGATGCTGTCAATAATTAGTTTAATGCTTGGGTAGTCCTTCACGTATGAAATATTATTTGCAGAGGGTTGGTAATGATGCTCTTTCGTATCGCTGGGGTTTTCACCATCCATCAGGCTAGGGTTGTTGGGGAATCCTCCGTAATGGAAAGGAGACGAGATGAGAAGTTCCTGGTGGGCCCCAGAAAGGATGTAGGAAGCCATCACCAAGGTCATTATTATCAGCCCAAAAATAAGGCTACATCTCTTGCCCTTTTTAAAGCGCAAAAAACCTCCCCAGTTCTCATTCCCTTCAGTCCTCACTTCCAGAACAGCAAGCAAGTTCATCTGCTTACTGTCTACACGAAACAGAATCTTATTCTCTCCCTTGCACGTGGGGCACGCCTGGTGACTGTGCTTGAGGCCTCCTTGGCAGCCAACTTTCTCCTTGTGCGTGCTGTCGGGTAACGACTGTATGCAGCAATTAATGCAGTGCCTCATGGTAGTGCCCTTGCGCTGTGGGCTTAGTGAGCCATGGGCAAATGCCCCAAGGAGTCGGGACACGTATGACCAGGAATTGTAAGGACGTTTTGTGATGACGTAAGATGGTCAGAAAGCAAAGGCAACGGAAAAAAATATAACCATGAGCGGCCAGCAACGCACTAGAGAAGGAGGAAGTACATTCTTTAGCTCGGTTCTGAAAGACAACGAAAAGAAGTGATCTCTAATTGTCATGTTTTGCCAGAGCCACTGGCACATGGAGGCTGTCAGGAGTACAGGAGTAGTTCTGCCTGTTGGTCGTTCAAGTGTTTCCCATTGCACACAAAAAAGGAGGAACAGTATCACTGGCGAACATGAAGAGACACCAGAGATTTGAAGCTATCATGGTCTTCTCTTAGACAGATGTCCCAGCACGCGAGCCATGGAGACGCCTAGAACGTTTGTACCTCTGCAGTGTTCCCTTGGGATGTCTTTTTCTTCATAGGGAACAAACTCTTAAATATGCCAGATTACCTAAACATAAATAAAATAAGACACATTACATGATGTAGTAACAGTCAAAACCCAGCAAAAATGTTTATAGCAGCACAATTTGTGATAGCCAAATCTTGGAAACAACCAAGATGCCCATCACCTGAGGAATGGATGAAAAAGACGTTGTATTTTTATACAATAGAGTATTACTCAGCTATAAAGAATGATAAACTCAAAGCCTTTATATTTAAGTGGATGCCACTTAAAGATATACTCATAAGTGAAATAAACCAGACACACATGTGCAAATATTGTATAGTTTCCCCAGTATAAGAACTCAAAAGAAGAAATACAAATAGAAAGGTATAATACAAGTAAAAGGAAAGCAAGAACTTGAGGACTAACTAATTAAGAGAGGGAAAGGAGAAGACCTAGGAAACATGAGAGTGACAAGCCATACAGTTACATGTAGGAGATGGGCAAGGCAATGATCCTGAGAATCTCCAGAAGATTTTTGAATCTAGCAGTTAATTGGAAAGATTCTCACCCTGACTAACTATATATACTGACACCTGTGAACTAAGAAACTACACTGAAGATGGCAGTTTCATACTTGGAGTGCCTGTCATTCTGGTCTTCTAAATACGGGCTGCTTATCATGACATGCCAGTTGCTGCTGTGCTGTCTCTTGGGTAGATGATTGTTCAAAAAGTAGGGGGTGGTGAATGAAGGCAGGAGACAGGAAAAGGAATATTGTGGAACTGTCCTGATTCAAGGTTGTATATGGTTAGATGTATAAGCATAAGAAGTATATAATTCTTTATGCCTATTTTTAAAATATATCCTAATTTTTAAATGTTTTTTCATCATATTCTGTAGGGACTTCAAGTTCAACATATCAATATTTGATGATAACTACCTGTTCCATGTTATGCCTAAGATGTTTGATATTCAGAGAGATAGTGAGGTTAAGCTTAACAGCCTACATGGTATGGGAATAACAATAAGCTTGTCTTCTGGATGGTTAACAACCTAAGTTTGCAGACCAAAATTAGAGAAAAAGGAGGGCCGCAAGAAAAGCCAACATTTTGGCCCTAGCCTTGCAAGGTCAATTAAGACTCAGGACATATGAAAACTTGTACTATAATGTCACGTAACTCTGTAGTGTCCCAAATTTTCTGATCAAGGAGATTATGGGGCCAAAAAGGAAAGCGATCGATGATGTAGAGTGTGCCTAAGGAGAGTCACATGGAGAAAAAACATTCTCTCAGGATTTCACAGAGCGCACATTGGTCAAGCAATGGCCATGACTCATCCACATGGCTGACACTGACAAAAGAACTACAATCTAAGATACAGGATCTCAGAATAAATCCTGAGGGGATTTGATTGACCTTATCTGACCCAAAAGCTACAACTCTTGCTGTATGGGTCTTGCTTTACCTTGGTCTTAACCATCCAGCAGAAAAGTATAAAAATGAAGTATAAGAAGTAAAGGCATGCTGTTATGTTGAGCTGTAGGGGACTCAGGTCAACAATTTCTGACACTGCCAGTGAAGCAGAAGACCCAATACTATTATGGACTACTGGACTCTTTTAGAATATTTTGTTGAGTTAACACACCTATAATATTCAAATAACAGAACTAAACAAAAAAGGGGATACAGATGAATGTCCATTTTGTATCTGTGTATTCAAAGTGGTTAGGATAGGTATATAGTTACATTCTCTTAATGAATAGAGGGATTTGTTCTAATAGTATTTGTAAATAGATATAATGTCAGCATCTTGTAGAGCAACTAACCACTAGGAAGAATGTATGCAGTGTGTTAATTATTGAAATTGTCCTACCAATTTGGTTTGAAACTGTCCATTGCTATTTGTTTCTCAGTAAAATTATGGGGAAAAAAACCCACAGTTTGCACACCTGGAAAAAAAAAACCCAGGGAAAAATAGATGTTCATTTTGCTTTTCCATTTCTCACTTTCAGCCAACTTGGCACGGTCACAAGCAAACCAAGAAAATCATACAGGATTAAAGGAAGGTTCCAGATCCTTGTGCTTGGCTTTGGGGTTCGATCTCTGCCATCAAACGTGGTCCCAATAACTGGTACCATGTCCAGCACCACATATCATGTGCAAACCCCATATTCTCTAATACCTTTGCTGTCATACATTGAAGTTAATGGCACCTTGGAGTCCTACCCAGGACTTTTCACAATCCTTCTCAGATTTGGGCAGTCACAGCTATAAAGTTGAGGGATGAACTGAAATAGCAATGGTGTTTATATAAAAAAAATTATAAAAAGGTAGTTAGTATGAGAACAAGCAGAGCAAATAGGGTTTTGTTTTGTTTTTTTCCTCCCAATCTGTTAAATAGAACTAGCCTTTACTATCAGTTTTGGAAGCAAAAGTTAATGAAAATTTAGAAACAATGAAATGATTCTCTCCTTCAATAGAGTATATCATATTAAAAAAAAAAAGCCATTTGACTTTAAGTTATTAAGCAATTAAATCCAATGTACAATATTCCCCTGAGCAGTGAACACTTCAGCCTCTAAAATAATTTTTCATTTTCATCATCCTAGAGAAGACATGATTCTTAAAAATCCATTAACACAATCCTGTGGTTGTAAAATGTATTGTTTCCCAAATGACATTTCTCTGTAGCTATCATAAAAGGACTATTGAATGAGCAAAAGGAGACGTACTTGGTTTCTAGCCTGGTAGACCCCCAACTACCATCATTCTGACCCTAAGCAAGCCATCCAACCAGTCATGGTTTCCTCACCAGTAAAATCAGAATAATAAGTGTCTCCATCACAAATTTGTAACAAGCACTAAATTAGTTAATATATACGTAAAGAGTCTGCATAATGACTGACACATATGTAGCATCCCATAAGAGGTAGATAACTGATAATAATAGCATCATCAACTATATTATAAATTTTAATTGTCAGTGAATGCCAGGAACATTTGAAGTACAATAAAAAATGACAGATTCCCTGCCACATTATTTTTCTTGTAGGGACTGAAATTACCTAAAGATGGCAGACTCACCGCCAATTCTACACACACTTTCCTCCAGCAATCTTTATTGTCCCTAGGGAGGTGACAATAAATTATCCTTCAGCAGAGCCTCCAGGGACTGACCAGAGGACTGAACAATCAGGATCTACCGGGACAAGTTCTCACTTTTCTTGAACCAAACAATCATCTTTTCTTGAATTACCTTGGTCAAAAAATAGCCAAGTGGTATTTCTGAAAACATCTTCCAACTCAAAATGTTCTGCATGCCATCAGCAAGTATCTTTGCTGGGATTATTTGGAGAAAAAGTGGGATGGACAAAATTACACAGAATTCTTTACAACAGGGATTTTAATATGCCAGTAAGCCCTGAGGGTCTACGCTGGAGGAATATAATACCCAGAATTTGTGAAACACATTAGCCGATAAATTTCTCCCCAAGATCGCAAGGAAACTGTGAAAAGGGCTGGTCAGGAAGGACTGAGTTAAGAGTCAGGCGGAGGCAAGGAGTTTATAGGAGTACAGAGGAGAAGGGGGGCGAGGAGGAGCTCTCCTAGACACCAGGCCAAACATCTGACTCCACTGTCCCCTCTTGCATCCCTTAGGGCAGCTGGACAGGCACATCAAGAGCCTCAAGGCTCAAACTTGTTTCCAACTTGCTCAATCACCCCTGACTCATTGCTGGGTACAAATAATTTTTCCAAACCAAAGAAACAAAAGGGCAAGATCCCCTACTCGGAAACTCTATCACTACAGCCAAGAATGCATTCCTTCACATATAGAAGACAAGACCAAATCTGGTTAAAAATGAGCCTCCCACCAGGAGCTCTGTAGGAGGGAGTTTGCCTTGCGCTGTCTTTCTGCTGTGGAAGGTCTAATTAGATTCACTTTTAAACAAACAAACACAATGGACTTTGAAGCCACAAGACAAGAGTGTGCATAATCTAGACACCACAAGATGGGCAAAACATTCCTAACAGGCCGGGGAGACGGCTCAGTGGAATGGGCGCTTCCCTGGCAAGTGCAAGGGCCTGAGTTCAATCCCTGGTTCAAAAAAAATTCCTAACCAAGCCCAAAGGTGTCCTATTTCAAGCAACTTGTGGTGGTGGGGACATGCAGATCATCTCATAGTTTGGGGAACCGGGGCAGACTGAGGGTGATGCCTGGCTGCGCATCTTTCTGGACAGCTGCACCTCTAGCCACATTGGCTACTCTAAGGCTCACTTCATAAACATAAATAACCAGGAAGACGATTCGAGAAGCCTTAGGAAGGCACTCTGACACAGTGTTTGGTCACCTTCTCTCAGTCAGCCATTCACTCTGTCAGCAGATACATTCTGAAGGCTGTGTGCCAGACACATCCAGGTATGGGAACTTGAAGCCAATGCAAGATGGGAGGGTGCACACACACGCATGCGCGCACACACACACACACACACACACGCACACAGCATGCATGCACACTCATCCTCTGTGCTTGGTGCACCACATTTTACTTGGTTTCCTGAATGACAGGAACAAGCTTTGTTGTTCCTAACAAACTTTGCTCAAGCTCTCCTGAGTTTATGCGAATTAGATGATTCATGGCCCCCCACGAGGAAGATTCTGGATGGGGGCTGATCACCAGGAAGACAAAGCCTTGGTTAGAAGCGTGGCATTTTCACCCTCCAGGTAGGAGGAAAAAGAGACTGGAGATGAAGTCATGATCACCAGTGATCTATCAGTCAATCTTGCCTTTGTAATGAGACCTTCACAAAAACCACTGAACAACGGAGATCCTCAGAGAGCTTCGGGGTTGGTGGACCCAAGAAAGTGCAGCACTCAGAGCAAGGGCAGGAAGCTCCTCGACCCCAGCCCCTGGCCCCTGCCCCGAGCATCTCTCCTATTGGTTACTCCTGAATGCTGTAAACCCATACAGGAAGTTGCTGAAGCTCCCCTCCACTTTTGTGGCCAACCTGGACAGAAGCATGGGTTTCCCAGGGACCCAGTAGTAGAGAATGACATGTGAA